CCCTGGCCCAGGCTGCCCAGAGGGGCTGGGGAGTCTCCTTCTCTGGAGATATTCCAGCCCCGCCTGGCCGCGGTGCTGTGCCCCCTGCTCTGGGTGACCCTGCTTGGGCAGGGGGTTGGGCTGGGTGACCCACAGAGGTCCCTGCCCACCCCAACCATGCTGTGAGTCGGTGATTCTGTGGCCCACCAGGCACCCTCCCTCTCCCCGGGGCATCGCCTTTAAACCCCAAGCGCTCACCAGGGTGGAGGAAAACGCCTTTTTGGCAGGATTAACATCGGGCCAGACCCAGCATGGGGTTGTGGAAGGTGTTTTCTGTCTCCCCCCATCCCACCTCCGAGCACCCTCCACTTCCACACACCAACCGCAAGCCACCACCTGACTCCCGGAGCTGGGGATTTACAGAAAAGCCCTTCGGAGGGGTACAGTCACGGGGAGAAGGGGCAGAGGGGGAGTTGTTACACTCATGGATGTCCCCATTACTGGTTTCTCCTGGGGAAATGAGCTTCTGCCTGCGGCCAGCCGGGCCGCGTGGGCTTTTCCCGTTCCTCAAGGCGAGCGGTGTGGCAGAATATGTTTAATCAACTGAATTCTTTCAACATATTCCATTCCTTCAGCTGCATCTTTAGGTTTGAATAACTTTGCTTAGCAGGAGTTAGCAGGGGGGGTGTGAGCTCGCTGGAATCCCAGGTCTCTTGCTGTGAGCTTATCCTGGCCGGGCTGCTGGGATCCAGGCAGGCCCCGGCACTGGTGGGAACTGGGAGATAAGGAGGCTGCCGCTGTCAGAGGGAGCTGCAACTCTTGCAGATAAGAACTGCTCACGGAACGGCCTGTCTGGAGGCAGAGGAGTCGTCCCACAAGGCAAAAAAGGACCATATCTACGTGTTTATGGAGCACCATCCCTGGAGGGGTTCAAAAACCGTGTAGACGTGGCACTTGGGGAGGTGGTTTAGCAGGCATGGGGGTGTTGGGCTGACGGTTGGGCTTGGTGATCTTGGAGGGCTTTTCCAACCTATGATCCTGTGATTCCATGACCCCTCCCAGACCAAGGATTACCACTGGACCAAGAGGCACGTGCAAGGCGCATGAATGGCGCGGGCAGAGCTTGCAAGGGTAGAAACGCCCCAGGATTTCTTTGCTCTGGGTCCCTCTCCTAAAGAGGCACCCGGTCCAGACCGTTTCTTTCCTCTACCTTTCAATCTATTTCTTTAATTAAATTACTTTATAATCACGGATGCCTGAGACCACGCTACCTAGGGACACGAATGTTTCTTTAATGGTGGGCAAAGCCCATCATCCCCTACATCTCACCACAGGGAGACCTGGAGCCCTGCAAGGTGCAGCTCTTGTACAAGCTTGGAAAGCCCCCAGATGGTTTAATTTACGATTTACAGCCCCCCCGCCAGGGAGATGCCTTTTCCCTGAAGCCTTCCCAGCTTTGATCCGTGATGGAGAGGGGCGGGAAAGGAGCCTGGGCGATTTGGGCACAGAGAGGTGCAGAGCCGTATCAGAAGAGTAGAGTTTTTATTAATAAAAAAAAGAGGCAGTACACACAAATTCTTCCCCCTCCCCTCCCCCCTTTTTTTTTATTTCTTGAAGGAAATCCAAAAAACCATCTGGAGAACCCCAAACGCAGGTGGTGGCAGGAGGTGGTGGCCGCTAGTCCGGGACGTCCTCGTGGATGCGGACCCGGAGGGGACAGATGCGGAGAGCCTTGGGCAGCGTGCGCACCGGCGTCCCCCCGACGTAGAAGTAGGGGAAGACGGTGCCGCCGAAATCCTCGTGGAAGGTGTAGATGTGGGTCTTGCGGATGGCGTCGTAGAAGGAGACCTCTCCTTCGTCACAGTCCAGCTCCACCCGGATCCGTCTCAGGTCACCCAACGCCACCTCCGAACGCGCCGTGTTGGACGCTCGGCACGACACGTCGTCCTTCCCGGGCAGGCGGTAGATGTACCAGAAGCCGGAGCGAGCATCGTGGTGGAAGGTCCAGTGGGTGTCACCGCATGGCCGGGCCACCCCCACCTGCCAGTTCGTGATGCCGCCCAGGTCCACCTCCCAGGCGTGGAAGCCGGCGGAGAAGCCGCGGGGGAAAAAAACCCCGAGACCCGGCCCGCCGCAGAGTTGGGGTCGAAGCTGAAGGGGACTGTGGTGGGGACATGAGTGTTAGGAGCCTGGACTGCCTCAGGAATGAGCTTATTAGTGATGGTGCCCTTGTACTGGGTGCTGGTGAGGCCCCACCTCGAGTGCTGTGTTCAGCTTTGGGCCCCTCACTCCAAGAAGGACATGGAGGGGCTGGAG